CTTTTTGTTGCTCCACATTCTGCCCAGCTCGTCCCCTTATTTTTGTTGCGCTAACCATTTAATAGTTTTTATTGTAGAGTACACCGAGCATAAGCAGCAATCTACCAACTAAAGTGTTGAACTAAAATCGCACTTATTATTTTACTTTAATATACGGCTAGCTGTCGAGCAGCTTGTTCGAAAATTACAGACATTTAACCACCATCGAATTGGATAATTACAAGTAGTGTAATGATACGCCCGTAGACATCGCGCAATTTGAAGACTATTTTTTTAGTTGATTTTGAAGTGTCTAGTAAATAATCCGGTCTTAATCGTTCAAAATTGTAATAAAATTCGAATATTCAGCTGGCTACATCTGGAATTAATTAACTGCAGTGGTATTTACATAATTCAATTTTGTTGAGAAAAAAATAAAAGTCGGAGGATTACTCCCAGCAGGCTACTATTACCTTATGTCTCGCGTAAACTTAATCCGTCTAGGCTGGTCATATAAATAAGAAATTTCAGGTAATCGTTTCGTGTTCTGTTGACAGGATATTATTCCGCACAGTTTTATGCTGTGCACAACTATGCCAATTTAGCGTGCAGACACGTAAATAACTAATTACGTTTTAAACTTCTTTTATTTTTAACATCAAGCAGCGAAGTCGCAGTATCAAGGTTTGCTCATAATAATTAACAAATTCATATTTTTTTAATAGCATAAGCTGGTAAACGAACAGACGGATCACCTAATGGTAAGCAATCGGCGTCGCCCATGGACACCGTTTGCGTTACCGGCTTTTTGGGGATTAGGAGTTTGAGGATCGTTGGGGATTCAGGGATTGGGGAGATTGGGGAAAGGGAGGGTAATTGGGCCTCCGGTAACCTCACTCACACGACGAAACATAACGCAAGCGTTGCTTCACGTCGGTTTTCTGTGAGGCCGTGGTATCACTCCGGTAGAGCTGGCCCATTCGTGCCGAAACACTCCAACACTTAAAAAATATTGCGCCATTTTAGTTCTTAGAAAGCTAGTAATAATAAGTATTTACCATAAGTATAATGCTCGGGAAAACGATACGTTCAGCGTTTTATATTTAGTAGCAGCTTGATAGCAAAATATGTGGTGGTGCGTGTAATGTGAGCTAACCTCTAACTACATAAATAGTAATTAGCTACTGAACTTGCTATAAAATAGTAATTCGTTTGTAATGAGAAGAGTGTTTACCTACTAAAAAGTAACTGTTAGACTTTGTTCAGCTCGATATTAAATAATTACTCTTACTCATTATACTGTAACCAAGCTTTTGAACTCTTGCTACGACTTGCTACAGTGTATAAATTGTGATTGTGACTTGGAGCAGGGCAATAAAATTAGTTATAATAACTACATAAGCAATAGCTTATGTTACTGATTAAAAAATAATGACAGATTACTGAACCAGGTAAATTATTAGTCAATTTAATTTGGAACTTATAATTTATTACAGTCATTATATCTTAATTTCCTAGCCACTTAATATGTTTTCTTTACCGCTATAAAAACATGGATACATAGCATTTGAATTTTAAATGAAGCTATCTAATTCAAATTAGTTCACACCTTAACGATGTCGTTGGTGGTATTATTCAGTTCAGATACGAAGAATCGTGACTGAGAAGAGAGTGACGCGCACCCTAATGTGTGTTGTGGTGTCTGTACTCCGGGGTGGCTCGCCGCGCGCTCATTACTTCGTACTTCGGACTCATATGTGCCAGGCTGGGAGGGCCCCAGTCTGTCATTAAGCCACCCAGTCCATGATCGGTCAGATATAAATCATGGTAATGGTAGATTATTCTAGATACATCGACGGAACACCCGGGAAATGCGCTCGAAGCACCGATTATATAGAGCCCACTGACGTAATTGCACCGCTCATTGATACCTCACGAAATGTAATTAGGCTTTGTTCCAGCTAAGTGCGGCTCGAGAGTTTGCCCTCTTTTTGTAAATATATTGCAGCATTAACTAAATAATGAGTATTGAACTGTACGTACGTATTTACGTAACGAATTTTCAGTCTTTCCTTTTTCCGGAAAATCCATACACAATTTTCGTCTCACGACTAAGCGCGTAGTAATTTGCTACGATGGCTACGCTTCGTATGGGAGATTTCGACTATGTACAAATATTTTAAAACGAAACATCGCTTTGCCTAATTAGCATTTGTGTTTATTAAATCATAGTTATAATGTACTGAAAAAATTATGATGTTTTCTAATAATACGTTAAAAAATGTAATTTAATGATTTGACTTAAGTGTAGTTAATTTAATTTATACACTCAATTGTAAGTTGCCCCGTCTGTAGTAATTTCCGTATTTTCTATCAGAGTAAGAAATGAAACTGGATCAGCCCCATAAACAATCACAACCTACAAATGCCCAAGGAAAGGAAACAAAATGCCTTGTATGATTAATTGTCAACCTTGGTGTTCACTAGTTCTCAATAAAGACACATTTCATTTAATGGTATTATCTATGTTCATTGTAAACGGAGACTAGTCGTGTTGTCAGTGCGCATGCGACGTTGACGCTTTTGACATCTTTTGACACCTGTCACGGATATCGATCGTCGAATCGATTAATTGATCGGTACGTGCATTACTCAGCGAGGTGCCATTACAACGCTATGACAGGATTAGGTACTGTCCGATTTTGTCAAACGTAAATATTTCTATATAAGAGTTTCAGTGGTTAAAACTACGTAGTTATAATGGGCTATAATTATAAATACTTTCTGTTTAACATTTTAATAGTACTGTTCACTTAGAAAGTACGCTATAGCGATGCTCACTGGCTTGCCTTGAGCTTATCCATATCTAAAACTCAGTAAGTAATATATGTATCCGTTTTCAAGGATTTATTATCAAATATAGATAGACTTGAGTAACTTAAAGATGCGTTTAGATAAGATATTTCCTTTTAAAATGGTAATTCTTTCGTCTTTATCATTATGTAGTACATTTGGTTATCGCGTAACTACTTTGTGATGTTTTTAAACGAAGTCTTTGCATATTCACTTTCAGTTAATCTGAAAACAAATGACTTTATCAATAGTTATGTTATTGCCTTGTGTACAACATTATAAACTCACTTAAGGTTATCGTAGCTGGATATCTTAGGCATTTGTAGGTAGCAAAAATTTTAATTCAAACGCGTGTAGAGTATTTATCGTGTTACTGTTACTGTACTTAGATTTTACAGCTAATCCAATAAAAGTTTATCTTCCTCTCTTTTATTCCTTTGTTTTAATTTTATTGATCTTAAATATGTAATGAGCAACAAACTGTGTACCAAAGTTTAATAGCACAATAACGTAACTATAATTTCTAAAACCTATCATCTCAAAAATTTAATATTCATTTAGCACATACATGTTACTTACCGTACGGTATCTGCTGCTAACCAGGAGCTGTTTAAGACAAAGTTATTGCAATTGTTGCTGAATGTGTTACTGTAAATGAAGAGTGTCGTGCGCGGTTTTATAAGATGCATATCAATGAAAAATATGTCATTCCGTTAGACGATGTCCGTAGTAATAATACAGTTGTATGTTCGTAGCCACGATAACCTATCGCCCCGCAACCTCATAGCGTTCAGTAGAGACGCGGCAGGCATTATCGTGTCTAATCAGGTTCGCACGCGGCGCGGTGGCTAAATCATCCGATTATTGATTTCCGATGTCGCGGTCGTGATCGGGCGCGGGATTCAACGTTCGCCGTGACAGTGCAGCCATTGTCGGAGCCGACGGCGGCTCGCGCGCATTCTCCGTGATTAAACGCTTGTAATTCCAACAATATCATCCCGACTGTCGGATTCAATCTGCACACGCCGCGCGCCGCTCATCTCATGTCATCTTCCCCGCGAACTGACCTAACAGCACGGACCACTTGTATGTAATAAGTCAGTTAACATTAAGACCTCGTGCCCTGGAAATGTCCCGGCTCATGTTATAAAAGAGAATAGCGAATTGCTGATTCGGATCTCCTGCTGCAATAATGTCTTGATTTATTATTTCGCTCATGTGATTTATGTTATAATTAACAAGATATCAACGCCTCGTTGATCCAGTCTAATAGAGTTAGCGGTTGGTTTGATGCAAATACCTTCAATACATCTTGCCGAGATTATAACATATCTAATCTAAAGTAAGGTACTTGTCAGTAAATTATATCACAAAGTGCGCTTATAATTTATAACGATTTTATCTGTCCATCGTGGAACACGTCAATCTCTATTCCTTCAAGTGTAATGCGTCTTTTTTTAGTAAACGAATATCAGATAAGGAGGATGTTCGCAAATTTTTGCTCTTATTGCACACTTCGCTGCAGTGAACAATAATAGGGGAGGCAATTTCTCGCGACATGAGATCGGCGGATGGTAACGAGCGGTCCGTTGTCGTTATTAAAGCCCATTGTTGTGATGCGCCGTATAAAGCCTAACGCAGCCTAGTCCCTTTCTAATGCTGCCAATAAAGCACTGAAAGTGCATTTGCAATACGATTAACTCTCTCGGGTGGTTACGCGGGTATGCACGACGTGAGTGCGACAGAATAGGGCTGACGTTTCTCTTCACAAATGGTTCTGTTTTCAACATTCAGTCTACGCTGTAACCCAATAAAATAACTTATACTTACCTACTGCTTTCAAGTTTATTTTCTTCGTCTTCATTGACTTTTGCCTTTGCTCAATTTAGTTAAAAACCCGATTTCTAACCAAAAACAATAAAATATAATCCCAAACACATTTGCAAGTCATACCCAGTTTAAGAAAAACATTTCAATTGGAAGATCGCTATTATAACGAACCAATCATAATAGCTTTACTGAAATCAATATTGCTTGACCGTTTGACCTTTTCAACCGAGCAACCCTAGCAATCTAAGTCTGAACTCTATTATCGACTGTTAATAAAACTAGGTAGCGCACGCGGTGGTTGGTGGCTGCTGTTACTAGATGGCGTCTGCGGACGGTGGATGTGCTTGCGCATTTGCATAAGGAATTGGGTGCGCACGCTTCGGTATCGTCTCGCGGCGTATTTCTCACGCTACCCGCGGCCATTGCACGCTCTTGCCATCACCGCCTCTTCTTGTCTAATGGCTGTGTCAGCACGTTGCCCCTGTTCAGACCTTTTTTATTTTCTTCCTACTCGTCATAGATATAGTCACTCAAAACACGATAGATCATCATTTAAATACAAACCCGTTTTCAGAAAACCGTTCTGTAATATCGCCAGGAATTTACTATGTTGGCACAGTAATGATGCGTACCGAAATAAACAAGCGATGTTAAGTTCATAATTACACGAATCTCGAGATCGTTAAGAACTCGAAGTCGGTCGACCATTTTTCACTATTAAAATATATGTTCGACGGAACATTCGGCGTAAGTGTCGTTAATTGTATGGTGCATTGATAACAGGTGATTTGATGGCAGCCGTGTTAATTGTGACCTCGATTCGGAGTTATAGGCACCGCACCTGAAACTACGGTATGATCAAACGAATCCCAATGATTACAAACAAGAATTACCGAGTAATAAAAACAATAATGGATAAATATTAAAGCACTACCGTGTATCAAGTCTTAATAAACATGGTACAGTAATACTTAGCCAACCGCAAGACGTCATTTCAGACAGTAAATAAAATTGCAAGCCCTAAGGGATAAAAGACAATAGCCAAATGAATATTTCATAAGGCCATTATTTAATGATGATGCTTATAATACAGTAGTGCTATCAATTAGAAGCGAAGCGGCAGTAATTTCTTTTACTAGATTAAACACAAAGCGAGCTTTGTCCCATGACCTTTGAGGTCAGGGCCTAAGTTACTAACGCTTGTCGTTTTGATACTTTAATAACGTTGCAACTTCATTTTATAGATAACAAACGTTTTGGTGCAAAGGGTATAAGCTTAGTAGGTTTCTAAAGTAGAACTACACAATAAAGTGAAGTTAATGGTCTAAAGAAATTATTGATCACAAAAAGAAATCTTCTACAGTAAATTGATCCAGTTATTGAAAATATCGGCGAATGATATCATCGTGGAAACTAAAAAGACATTATAGTAGATCGTCTCTGAAATGGTTCAACAACAAAATGTATTAGTCGATTTATCGGCTTTAGATATCCGTAAATGGTAAGCAGCAGTAAACGGTAAGGACGGCTTATTAAAGAAGTGACTATAGTACCACGTAAATAAAGATAGTTTTCGGATTTGTATAAACGGGGCTTTCTTTTTTCTTCAACTTTTATGGAAGTGTTTTTAGCCGCTTTTGACTTGCGCAGGGTGCTCCGCTGCGGCGGTCACTATTGTAAGTAGACAGCACGCAAGACATTCTCATGTAACGTGTTCCATGAAGTCGTCTACGACTTGCCCGTGCGCATCCAGCCCTCGGCCACGTTAGCCGCGCCCGCGCACACCACTAACTCCGCCAGTATGCGTAACTGACGCGACTGCCTACTCGTAACTCCCTATTGCAACGCTCCTTGTAACTACTTCCTTTAAAACGTAAACATTCTTGCCGAGGATTTACAGCGCCTTATTGGTGTGTTACGTAATCTATATATATAAAAATCAATGCCACTTTTCGTTGTAATTCCATAACTCAAGAACGGGCTCACCTATCCAAACCAAATGCTTAGGATTTGGTCGGCATATTTAGTAGATGGTTTATGTGAAGTTTGCACAAAATCGGTCGAGCGGTTCCTCATTTCTCACATTTTTTGTAATAAATGAATTCAATAGAAACTTTTTTCACAGAAACTTTTTTGAAGTTTTGTTGACAGGACAAGCACGTTGTTATGTCATTCATGCCGTCAGTTCATTTTGGACGTGGTTTGATTAAAGCATATTATCAGCGATAAATTTCTTTTCACATAATTGCATTTGCAGTGCATTCATACAAACGGTGAGTCCTGAATTTATGTGTACTTTTCTAAGTTGCCGTATATGATTTCACATAGCATCATATGCGACAGCTTCTTGGGAATTTGTTTTTTTTTTTGTTCTAATTTTTTTTTTCGATTTTTAAGCGAAAACATATGTGCATACGGGAAAAATGCCACCAGCCAGACGAGCAAATATAGGTCGGCGAACGCGTAATGCAAATGATGTGGCATTACTAAGACGATCACAATTGAAGATATATGTCTAACGATTGCAAATAAAGCATTAGTACAATTGGGTATGACCGCACCAAATCGTCCCATGCATGATTTGTTTGATCGTGAATTGCAACGTGAGCAGGAATTCAACTGTAATGATTTGCGTTTATTTGTACAATCGAATATAACCAAATTAAATATTCAGCAAAAACATGTATATGATACAATCATGCAAGCCGTTTCCAATAATGCAGGTGGATTATATTTTTTGGATGCACCTGGTGGCACAGGTAAAACGTTCGTTATATCATTGATTTTAGCGACTATTCGATCAGATCAGAAAATTGCACTAGCACTTGCATCTTCGGGAATTGCTGCTACATTATTAGAAGGTGGTCGGACCGCACACTCTGCATTAAAATTGCCATTGAATGTACAGGTGATTGAAACTCCAACTTGCAATATATCGAGAAATTCTGCTATGGCAAAAGTTCTGCGATTAACGTCAATTATTTTATGGGATGAGTGTACAATGGCGAATAAAAAATCACTAGAAGCATTCAATCGAACAATGCAAGATTTACGTGGTAATCAACAGCTTTTTGGTGGTGCTTTGATATTACTTTCAGGGGATTTTCGTCAAACATTGCCTGTCATTCCTCGATCAACTCCTGCTGATGAAATAAATGCCTGCTTGAAGTCATCAGTTCTTTGGAGATATCTACAAAAATTGACACTAAACATTAATATGCGTGTTCACCTACAAAATGATCCAGCTGCCCATGAGTTCTCAAAACAATTGTTAGAAATTGGTGACGGCAAAATACAAATCGACAGAACCAACGGATTGATCGCTGTACCGAACAATTTTTGTACAATTGCGCAATCGATAGATGAATTGATTGAATGTGTTTTTCCGAATATTGTTCAGAATTACAGAAATCATGATTGGTTGACAGAACGCGCCATTTTAGCACCGAAAAACATTCATGTCAATGCAATTAATTTTCAAATTCAAGCGAAACTGCCAGGCGTAGTCACGAAATATAAATCAATTGACAGTGTTATGAATCAAGATGAGGCAATGAATTATCCCATTGAATTTTTAAATTCATTGGAGCCGGCTGGTATGCCACCGCATTGCTTGAATCTGAAAGTTGGTTCTTCGATTATATTATTGCGAAATATTAATCCACCAAAACTGTGTAACGGAACCAGATTGGCAGTGAAAAAGTTATTGCCAAATTTGATTGAAGCTACGATCTTAACTGGTAAATCAAAAGGAGAAGTTGTTTTGATACCGCGTATACCTATGATTCCAACTGATATGCCTTTTGAGTTCAAACGTTTACAATATCCTGTGCGTTTATCATTTGCGATGTCCATCAACAAGGCCCAAGGTCAAACACTTCACGTTTGTGGTGTGAATTTGGAGGAACATTGTTTTTCACATGGCCAGTTATATGTTGCCTGTTCCAGAGTCGGTACCCCCAGCCGTTTGTTTATTTATGCTCAAAATGGAAAAACAAAAAATATTGTTTATCCAAATGTTTTGGATTAAGTGTGTTGTAAATAGCTAGCAATTGATTTCGATTTTAAATAAAATATTTTTTTGATTAAATAAATGAATTTGATGTTCCGATTTGTTTATTTTATTTCACTTTATACGTAGCGAAGCACGTACCGGGCCGCTAGTTCGCTTATAAGCGTACCGATTTATGCACGTTGTTAATAATGAAGACATTGAAATATGTATTTTTCTAAGATATTTTATCTACAATACATTCAAGCTTTTAGTTTTATGTCTAATGCTGGTTATAAATCTCAGCAGGTCCTTGTTTTCTGGTTATTAATTACCTGTTGATAGTTTCTCGTACACACGTCACAACATTGGATTTATGTCTAACGTATATAAAACTAACATTAGAAATGTTAAAGTGATCTTAATCGTAGCGCTCGACATAATACGGTCATCAAGCGTGGAATTTCTGATACCGCACGTTAAAGTGTAGTAGCACTCTAATCTATCACTTTTATCTCAACAAACCAATTTAAATATTACAACTTAATTTTATTCTTTAACAACGAGAATAAATTTCCGTGATTTAAAAGAATTTCCCTTTAATTGCTTACAGTTATTTCGGGCAATAAAATACTCAAAATAATATATTCGTAGCCCTTCCATTCTGACACCACATATACATAAACGTTATTTCTGCTGCTAATTTATAAAGACCACATAATGATCGCAATTAAAATTTTAACACCAAAATTCACTCTGGGGAAATGAGAAACTAGACATGTTGGATGGTATAGTGGTTATTAAAATGAAACAGCGATGATAAACTTAGAATATAATCCTGTACATTAGATTATTTATGTTCCTAGATTTATCTACGTCTCAATAATTATCTTGTGTAAACTGGTTACCTAATGACGTTGTTCTCTGGATACGTCGCGCGAATCTATCATTGTACGAACGTTTCCTTGAGCGAAATAACCAGGTTATCTATATGCGGATCAAAAGACCGTTAATAGCTTATTTGTTTATTTACATCTTTCTCAAGGACCCTCAATTAAGTTGAAATGTACACAGATAGTTTAACACGATAAAATAAATAAACTACAACAGTTTAAAATTCTTTATTTTTTCAAAATGAGAATATATACGTGCAATAATTTAAATTAATTAATTACAATTAGTAAGTAGAAGATTAGATTCAGGTTCTATTAGTAACAGTATGTCTTTACGACTTGTATTTATTGCTCTTGTCGTGTAAGGCAATAATAGAAACATGGGCAAAGAAAAAGTTTGCGGCTTTCCCCTATACAGGCAATCAATTAAGTCAAACGGTATCTAATTACTTACAAATGTTTACTACTAACCCCTTGTACCGTAATTCTTGTTTTTTAAACTTTATTTTAAATTAAATTAAATGGAAACCTTGTAGTTAATATTGCTGCTATTAAAATACGGCTAGACAGCGAATTCTAATTAGTTATCTTCGAACATTAGACTAATAAGGAGGTATAATGTAAAACTGCATTCTGAAATCCATTTGCGAGTTCCGGCAGGAAATTGTTTTAGTGGCGTACTACAAAACCGTCAATGTACAGACTTGAGCATGTTAATTTACATTACAGTCAAAATTGATTGATAGAGTCAACTTTACTAGTTGGAATTAAAGTTGAA